TGACCATTATTACATCGTGATATACTTTCCTTTTTGTTGTAAATTATGGTATACTCAACAGTTAAGTTCAATTTAATTTTGGAGGCGAGCTTCAGAGATTCATTTTATCTCAATGTTTCTTAATTTGTCCTTAATTTTGTTTTAGAATAAGAACTGCAATAATAATGAAAAAATTTATTTTATTACTAAAATAGATTTTTTCATTCTATTGTTTTTATGTGTTCTGGATGGAAAAGTATTTGTAATAATAGTATTACACTATACTTTTAAATCATTATCTGTTCTTTTTTAATATTGAAAGATAAATAAATTCGTTTGTTCTTTTTAAGGTATAGAATTTCAGTTTCTCTGGAAGTAATTAAGAAAATATATTATGAAGAATCTAACAGCGAAACAATTGCAAAGAATGGAGAAAAAGAAAAAGAAAATGGCTGCGCTTTTAGAAATTACTAAATTAAATGATAAAGATAGAGAAGCGAAGTCACTTGCACTTAAAAAGGCGGTTAGTATAGTCATTGAAAATATTTATAATGATTTTTGATTATCATATATTGTTCCAGTCTGAAGAAGCAGAAAAGTCCAATGATACGGATAGTAGTGAAATTTCTATAGAAGAAAATTCTACACGTAAGCGACCTTGTAGTGAAGATGTAAAAGTGACTCTTCTGGAAGATTCTACTACAAAAGTAAAAGTGGAAACTATGGGTGACACATCAAGTCCACTTGCTAATAAAAAGCCTAGGTTTGTAAAAATTTTAACTTAATTAATATGTACAAAATTTGTATGTAACTATATCTAATTATTTTTAATGAAAATTACTAATTAAATTTTTACTTTTATGCTACAGATTAAGTGGAGACGAATATCTAAAATTGAAGCAGGAATTAAGAGAACGTAAAAGACAATTTAGAGTGATACCTCGATTTCGTTTAAAAGCAGTTGGTGAAAGTGCTAGTTTATGTATAAATGTCAAAAGTGAAAATAGAATTCCAATTTTTCTTAGTGATATACAACATTTGTTGTTATATTCCTTACATGGACATCACTCACCATATATGCCAACAAGATGGTGCCACCTTGAGAAATATAATAGGGTAATGTAAATACTAAAGAGACACAATACAAAGTATTTAAAGTTGCATTAAATATAATTAAAATGTTTTTAAAAAGGTCACACATACAGTGGTCCTTGTTGTCGAAGGTCTCTCTTTATACCATTTTATGGCATACGAAAGTGTGTTTCCACATATAACAACAAAATTGGAGCACCGTGTAGAGGTAGTTACACCTGCAGCATATGGAGGGTCAGTTGTGGAAGATCTAGCAGCAGTTCCTATAACTGGAATACAAAGTGACAACTTGATTAAACGTATGTTCATGGCACAAAAATTTTTTTCTATCTACGATATTTACACATTCACTACTGCATGATTCACACACAAGTCATATAATTTGAATAGATTTAAAAGTTAATTGTTATACTAATATGAAATAATACGATTTGCGGTAATTAAGATACTTTTATTATTTAAATTAAAGTCGAACTTTTACTTAAATGTAGGAAACCTTATTCAAGAACTTGATCTTAGCAACGTGTTTCTAAGTCCTTGAAATTAGTGAGCTATGAATTCACCATAAATTCTTATCTATGTTCATGGATAGAA